AGGTTCAAACCCCACTGCAGTCAGCATGTCGTTGTGTCCCTGAGACACTTCACCCTAAATTGCTCCTGTGGGGATTGTCCACAGTATTGAGTATGGAAGTCGCTTTGGATAAAAGCGTCTAACGAGTGACATGTAATGTAATAAAAACATAGTTACAAATACAAAATTAAAACATGACTAAACAGACACTGTGTCCATCATTTGAATTTGTAGGCATGTGTATCATTTTATAGTTTGGATGTTCGCTTTAAAGCTGTCGAAGCATGCCATAAATGGGTTTGCAGTCAGAGGGTCACTGCTGGGGACTGTGAACAATCTCAGACTTTCAATGAGCCTTCACTCGCTAAATAAGACTTGTCAAATGATATATGTGAGAACACGTGCAGCGGCCTCACCTTGTCCTTCTGGCGAGACTTCCATCCCGTGCTTGACCTTCATGTGCCGGCTGAGGTTCCCCTTCAGGTTGAACTTACTGGTGCAGTAAGGACACTTAAAGGGCTTACTGCCAGCATGGAGGTGCATGTGACCCAGCAGGTTGTACATTCTGTTGAAAGACTTGCCGCACACCTGGAGGGAAATACAGAAATCACATAACATACTGACATTGATTGACAAGGACATCAACTCATTTAAAGGTTCACTTTAGGGAAGCTTCTTGTAGTTAGAGATGAAAACATCCTGTCTTATAACGGATGCTTCAAAGCTTAGAGTGAAATTCTCTCCCACACTAATGTGAATTTCAGCGTATTATCCTCCTCACATAATCCTGTTATATTCAATTAAACTGAAAATGCGCCATCACATTTCATTTCACACCAAAATTGATTGGAAAATCTTACACTTCCTCCAATCAATTCTTGCACAATAATATCCTGCATTATATTTTTTACTGTATTTCCACATGTATATATTTTTGTTACTTTTTATGCAATTTTATTTCTATTTCAGAATAATTTTTGACTGTTTATTTCTTGTGTCTTAATTTCTCTTATGTACAATGCCTTGTTTTTTATGCTGCTGAAACGCAAACATTTCCCAAATTGGGATCAACAAAGTGTCTGTCTGTCTGTCTGTCTGTCTGTCTGTCTGTGTGTCTGTCTGTCTGTCTGTCTGTCTGTCTGTCTGTCTGTCTGTCTGTCTGTCCGTCCGTCCGTCCGTCCGTCCGTCCGTCCGTCCGTCCATCTATACTCTCTTGTATCCACTTCCACCACTCACCTTGCATTTGAATGGCTTCACAGGCAGGTGGACGATCATGTGGGTCTTCAGGGTCTGTTTCTGGATGAAGCTCTTGAAGCAGACGTGACACTGGAAGGGTCTGACGCTGTTGTGGATCAGCATGTGTCTCTTCAGGTTGGCCGACAGGGTGAACTCTCGGGAACACACGTCACACTTGTGGCCTTTCACCCCCTGCGGAGTCCAAACAGAAAGGAAAGGGTTAATCCAGGTCCAATCCAAGTAATCCAGGGATCATTTCTAAACATCCATGAGCATATCGCAAACAGTAACAGCTCAAATGTAATTCTGCACATTTTTCATGGTACCTTTTTGTCAAAATGAAGGCTAAAAAAACGTAGCACACTGTGTAACACATCATCATGGCAACAATATAACTTCCTGTTGTTTTCACCCCAAAGCATCATGGGATTTCCAAAGCATTGAGATATGGTAGAAGTAGTAAGATAGGGAACAATATTAGGAGGGACAAAATCCAATAATATGAACTGTTGTTTCATGTTGTACCCCCAATATAGAGGTTTTACATAACTGCACTATCAGCAGGGTTCTTATATCTCTGAAACTCCTATCTTATTTTATTTTGGGGGCACTGGTCTCTGAGTAGGCCTCAAGCATTTCACTTTGAAAACAACTGGCTTATCAACTGTATTAAGGTAGTATCTGATTTGATCTTCAACAAGGAAGGAATAACAGCTTAGAGCAGAGGGCTATGAAGGCAAACCAACCGGTTGTCTGGGATGTCAGTGACAGTTTAAAAATAATATCGTAACGATATTCACATCCTGCCAGTGGGATGGTTCTCATTTGTTTGATGATATCAACATCTATGGCAGCCATTTTGAAGTGTACCACAATAAATTACTTTAAGTACAGAGAAAGAAAGAAATCCTAAACGACTCATCTTTATTTGGTTCCTGTAAAATCAACCACAAGCGACAGGACATGTATAAGCATTGAGCGGCAGCCGGAGAAGCATAAAACATCTACAGCCCTGAGGCTTGTCAGCTGCTACACCACACACTCTGTCTTTGATGTCAGCACACACACCAATTGGTTTGGATAAATGTATTCTGGTTTATTGAGGAGAACAACTATGCATTACAGGCCGCCAGTGGGTCAAGTGACTGTGTGTTTGTATAAGCAGAGAAATCTGGCTGACTGTCAGTCCCCCTCCCAATGTCTGCAAAACAAATGTGTAGTGTCGCTGTTTTCCACCAGGGGGAGCAGTGAACAGACTCCAGGCTTAAATACAAGAGAATGTTCTCCCCACTGAGAAAACCGCTCTCCCATTCTCATGATGACTGTGGCTTAGTGTTTTTGTTCTCTCGAAAGTAATCAAATTTAGATAAATCCTCTGGAATTCAGAATTTCTTTTGTCACCGTGTGATTTATATTAGAAACTCTATCTATCCACTGCTCTATCTATACGAGGAAGTTAAAGGTCTGGTAGAAAAATACCTCATCCAGATGGAGATTGTGGTTTGGGAATAGAAATGTCAAGATGTCACATGTCATGTATTTTAGTACGACCTCAAACTGAATAATTGGTGAAAAGATAGTCCTGTAATAATAAGTAATGCATTGTGATCTCTGTGTCACCTTCTCTCTCGTCGCTACCTGTGTGCGCGACTAATTGTGTGTCGAACACACAGGGGGGCATGTGCAGTTACAGACATTTCATTCAGATGAAACTATAATGAGGAGTACATGAAGAGGCTCAGTGTTGCGATTTTACAGAATCAAATAGTTGTGACAAAGCAGCACTGAACCAACATATCTATTCCTGTCATTTCTGTAATCAAACATTTGATGGGGATTTATTTTGCAACAGATTTGTCCTTATTTGTTAACATGACACACTTCTTCAAAGCAAGATACTCTATTCTCCCCAGGACACTGCCTGGAGCTTATTGACTAGAGAAAGGGTGAGTGACTGTACACAAGCACATTTCCTGCTTATTAGCCCTCCCACAATAAATGGGTTATAACAAGGATAGAACAAATATGGAAAAAAGTCTGTCCTTGATTTGGGATATTTTGCCGTTTACACTCACTTCTATGCTGCCGGACCCCAAATAAGTTTTAGTTACAATACAAGTCTGAAATAAGACACACAGTAGGTAAAGACAGAAGATGAACAGAGGGTGTGTGTGTGTGTGATTGCTTTTGTATTCTTCTTAGGGCTAGGCAATACAAGGAAAATCATATATCCCTTCAATGTTGACGAAATACCTCAATATAGATAATGTGACCATATTGCGGGGTTGACCAATGAACATTTAGATAAAGTTTGATATCAGTAATGTGGAAGTACATTCATTTCAGAAAAATATATCACTTTTTTGTTAGGCATCCTTAAAACCAGGAAAAGATATTACTATATCTAAAAAAATACGATACATATAATCACAATTTCAATGACTTTACCCAGCCATAACTCTACTCTCCTTTTCTTTTACATTGCAAAAAGAAAACCCTCCACAGTCTGATTATCAATGCAGGAAATATTTATAGAATGATTTTAACAATAGCAGTCAGGAAGTCAGGGCGTGAGAGGTGTCAGTACCTTGTGTGTGAGCGAGTGCTGACGGAGGTGGTGGAGCTGCACAAACTCCAGGCCGCACTGGGAGCAGGTGTAAGGCCTCGGGCTCTGGTGCTTCAGCAGGTGGTTCTGGAGCTGGCTGCGGTACGCAAACGACTTGTTGCACTCGGTGCACTGGAAGGTGTGGGGCCCCTGGTGGCTGGTCTGGTGGCGTTTGAGGTGGGCGTAGGTGGGGAACTCCATGCCGCACTGCGAGCACACATGGCATCGCCCACGCTCGTGCTTCACCTCGTGGGCCCGCAGCTCGCTGGGGTAGGCGAAGCCGCGGCGGCAGAAGCGGCAGCTGTAGGGCTTGATGTCGGTGTGTTGGAGCATGTGTCGCTTCAGGTGGCTGGTCTGGGTGAAGCCCTTCTTGCAGACGGTGCACTTGTGCGGCCGCGTCCCCTGGTGGGTCAGCAGGTGGGTTTGAAGGTGACTGGGCTGCTTGAAGAGCTTCCCGCAGTTCGGACAGGCGTGCGGTTTGATGCCGTTGTGGCCCAGGATGTGCGTGACCAGGTTGTACTTGGAGGTGTACGATTTGTCACACATGCGGCACTTCCAGCGCTTCAGACCGTCCCCCACGTCCACGCAGTAAGACTCGTCGATCTGGATGTTGATGTCTAGCCGGTCCACTCTGCGGCCGCCGTGCCGACGAGGAGGCTGGGGGTGTGGAGGCGGCTGGTGCTGCTGCGCCGCCGTGTTCCCGTCCGTCCACATCATGTTCTGGCTGCTGTCCTCGTACTCGCTCGGCATGCTCATTTCCGCCGAATCATAGCTGCCCACTTCACTGGTCTGGAAGTAGCTGCTGATGGCCTCCTCCTGCTGCGTGGGCTTCATCATGTTGTTCACCGGGTGTTCCACCTCTTCCTCCTCCTCCCTGCCACCTCGACCGTGGGCCCCCATCGGGCGCTGGCCCTGCAGCCCTCTGTGGCCCTGCTCCCCTCCTCTGTGGCCCACCTGAGGGGGAGGAGGGTGAACGTGTGCGTTGGCTTGCGTCTGGTTGGTTACATCCCGCTCACACTCTACACAGTTCTTGTTGGTGCCTCTGAGCGTGGCCGGGTCCACTTGTACTAATCCGCCTCTGGGAGCCATATTGTTCAGCATGTGGACACAGGAGGGCATCCCAGAGTTCACCACTTCCCCTTTCACATGTGACGTGGAAATGTCAGCGCCTTGAAGGCTGTGGCGATCGGGACCCACCATTTTTGTGTCGGGGTGTTGAGGGGGCCCCTGCTGCCACCTCCTCTGACTGCAGCTGGGTTGCATCTGTCCTTCTTCTCCCAAGTTGTCTCCGAGGTAATCTCCGTTGGCTCCGATAAGCTGGTCTGCGTACTCGTAGTCGACTCCTTCTACTGTCGGTGCGGGGGACTCTTTGGGCTCGCCGGTGTAGAAGCCGTTGGGTGCAATGGTGGCGCCAAACACTTCATTCTGGGAGATGAGACCTAGCACGGCAGCCTGGGCCAGGGACAGCACAACCACTGGATCTGTCTGTGTGCCTATGTCCACCAGCCTGGCCATTACCTTGGGCTCACATCTACCCAGGCGCCGGCTCGCCTCCTCCTGGAACAGAGAGATAAGCAAAGACAAGACATCAGTACTGCAAGGAAGAAAAGATACATCTGATTAAAGAGATATAGTCAGTCAAACTTAGTTGTTCAGAATCTTCTATGGTAAGATATTTTTAGAAAAAGAATGAAACCAAGGTTCTTATTTCTATCAGCGTTTTAAGTTGCATCGTCGGCAAGAAGGGTTTCACCGAAACGAGCCACCTGAAACATCTGATTGTTGTTTCACCGAATCTCTCAATTGATAACTTGCAAAAAGCACAACATTGTCAACACAGGACACTTAGGATACCACTACATGGTCTACAGTACGAACCAAGACCGCAAAGTAATGACAATAATTTACCAAGAGACAAACTACTGCAAACTGTCCTCCAACGAGAATGTGTCCTTCATCAAAGTGATCTGATGAAGACAAAAAGGTGTCGTAGGTCATCGTCCAATCAGAGCGTCACTTTGAGTCGGTTTTCAAGGAGGAAGGAAGGAGAAAAACACTATTTTTATTCTAAGGAGCCCCTTATTGCATCACAAGGAAGGAAAAACAAAGGAAGCAGAGAACATTTCCTCCTGCAGCGACTAACCTCATCACAAATCAATGCTAAGTAAACCTGAATCAGGACTGTCTTAAGGCACAGTGACTGAGACGCTGGAGCTATGAAAGACACCACCATCCTAATCCAGCGTGTTAACCATGTATGGCGTGTGTGTGTGTGTGTGTGTGTGTGTGTGTGTGTGTGTGTGTGTGTGTGTGTGTGTGTGTGTGTGTAGGATTAGATGGCCTATTGATCTACACACAGCACATATGCAAGTGCAAGTGGAGAAAAAGAGGAAGAAAAAACGGAGTAAGATTAAGAAATATAAAAAAGAATGGAAAAGCAGAAAGGGAGACAAAAAACATGGAAGAGCAGAGAGAGAAAAGAGGGGGGAGAAAGAGGAAAAGGCAGAGACAGAGGGAGGGAGGGAGGGAGGGAGGAGAGAGCTTAGAGCAGGCAATCGTCTAGTGGAGGGGAGGGGGGAGAGGGGGGAAAGGAAAAAGGAAAGGTAGAGGGAGAGTAAAGGAGAGATAAGGAGGAGGGGTGGGTGAGGAGGGGAGGAGGAGGAAGGCTGAGAGAGAAAGAGAGAGACACTGGAGAGGGAGGGGAGTGAAAGAGTGAGAGGGTTAGTGTAAGGCAGCAGTCAAAAGAGAGCAAGAGGCAGAAAGGGAAAGAAAGATATGTAGAGACAGACAGAGAGGGGGAGGTAGGGAGAGAGAGAGACAGAGAGAGAGAGAGAGAGAGGGAGGGAGAGAGGGAGATGCAGTGAGCAACCAGAAGGAGAAATGAAATGACAAAATGAAAGCCAGACAGAATGAAAGATATACAAAAAAGAGAAAGGAAGAAGAGTTGAAAAAGGCACAGACACAATTCCCAATTAGTGAGGAAGATGAATCTGCAAATGGCAACTTTAAAAACAAACTAGAGAGAAGCATCTCAGCCAGCAGCTCTCCTCTCAGCTGTGAGTGTCATCGTCACAGAAACGACCACGAGCTACGAGCGAGAGCCGATGAACTCACCGCGCTCCTCTTGCTGTGAGGTTTCAGGTGCTTTAAGGATCTCATTCTTCACTGGAGTGTTGAGTGAGAACGGGCTACGTCCGCCTCCTATTTATACGTGAGGGATGAGAGGAGGCGGGGCTTACTTGGCCCGCCTCCAACCCTCTTCTTTTTCTTCAACACAGTTTCATTTTTGGTCGCACAAACATAGACCAGACACAAACAAACAAACGATGAATCAGCATGTGGGGAGTAGATTTAAAATAAACAAACAAGCAGCTTTGTAATGATTGGCTTGCACTTGGCTCCTTGGTAGTGTCATGATAAGTGGGCACCTCAAACATTTCAAAAACTCAAATGAAATGCACATCGTATCAGTGTGCAATGATGGACCCTCCAGGCTGGCTCGCCTCACTCCACATCTCCGTCTGTCATTCTTTGTCTTTGTTTCTGCCTCTCTTCCTGTAGCTCTATTTATTACAGAGTCCCTTTCTATGCATGCATCTCTCTCTCTCTCTCTCTCTCTCTCTCTCTCTCTCTCTCTCTCTCTCTCTCTCTCTCTCTCTCTCCTTTTGTATCTTTCACTCTCATTTATCAAGTGAGGTTTATGAGTAGGGAAAAGTGTTTGAAGATTGTTTCATGCACGGACTCGGATGTAAGTGTGTGATAGGGAGAGGGAAAGAGGACGAGAAAGAGATGGAAGGTGACTGACAAGGAGAGGAGCGAATAAAAGAGGGAGAGAAGATGGAGAGGAAGAGGAAGGAAAGAATACTGAAAGAAAAGAGAGGGGAGGGGTGGATGGGAGACAGAAAAAAAGAGAGAGAGAAGGAGACAGAGGGGGATGGGAAGAGTGGAGCAGAATGCGGTAAAAGAATAAGAAGAAATGGAAGACGGATGAAGGGAAAGAAGGAGGAGAAATGAAGGTAAAGAGAGAGAATAAGAGGTATTGCGCTGCTGTTGATGATGAAGCTAATCTTCCTCTCTCCTTCCTTCAACCCCCACACACAAATGAAACCAGGTTCGAGGTTCGAGTGAGGAAAAACTTAAATCTCTTTTCACATCATCTGGTGGTGACAAGCTAAATTAGGGAAAGCACAGAGATGAGACGGTGACAACGGTGGCCTGAGAGTCCAAAAAGGTCAAGCACATCCTGCCAATGACGAAACGAAAACAAAAGCTTCAAACTATGGAAGCAGGAGACACGTCTGTGATCAAAACTGACCAACACAGCATGCCTTTCAACTAAACGTCTCGTTCTTATGAACTGGAAAGTCACAAAGCCTAACTGCTTCAATTGAAATAGATGGCTGGAGGACTTCCTAAACATCTTATGTATGGAAGAAGCTGCTTCCTCCCTGTTATACTTGGTTAAGCCAGACAACAGGCTTTGGGATAAGATAGGGGCTTTCCTGGACTCAAACCATCTCGGCTGCCAACAATAAATATAATAATATATATTAATAAATAAATATAAATAAAGAGAAATGAGGTATGAAGAAACAGAAAAATAACGGTAATAATAATGAAAGAAGTGAAATTAAATGGGAAATGGATGAATAGGTGAATTCATCATAAGAGAAAGAGATGTGTGTGTGTGTATATGTACATATGTGTGCATATATATATATATGTATTTATTTGACTATTTATTTACCTATTAAACAATGAAGTATACATATATTATGAAGCAGATCATGTATAAATACAACGCTATGTGCATACATCAAATGTAACTGACACTGTAATCCCCCTGCCCCCCACCCTTCATGTTGTGTCCTGTCCTACTTGTGATGTGTGTGAGCCATGTCCTTGTCCGTGTGTTTTTATCTTTTGAAAATGTTTAATAAAATATAAATGTTAAAAAAAAAAAAACTGACCAACACTTCCTTCAAAGAAAGGAATTGAACACCTTCATTCAAGATGTCTTTGTAAAACTGACTCGGTGTAAACACATGTTTGGACTCAAGAAAGGGTGCGAACAGACAAGCAAAGAGCTCATTTATTTAGCTGGAGTTTCCTGAGACGATGCGAGTCAATGAAAGCTGCCAAGAGTGAATGGTTGGTTGATTGTAATTGTAGATGCTGTTTGTCATTATGTTGAAGGTGAGTTCTCTCTGCAACATGTTGTATAGCCACAGTATTAAAATCCAAGAAGTGACCCTCATTCAAAGAGAATGCACCTTCTCATGGCCCAGAGCAAACTACAGTACAGTCCAGCTACAGTCGGAGCTATCCTCTGATTTGAATTGAGATGTGCAGAACAGCCCTGTGTTTCAAATGGCCCGGACAGCTTCTGTTTTTTAGTATGGCCCATTTTCAAGCTAGAGTAAGTGTGCTTCCATGGGAGATACAGTGAAACACTTTGACTCTACGTGTTAAAGAACCGCCAAATGGTTCAACAAATGAAAAGGCATGTATCAGAAAGCAATGATGTGAGGATCAGATCAAAATGTATGAGATAAACTTAGTCTAGATAACAATAATAAACAAAAGAACATTCTGTAAATGTCATACATATGAGATAAAGAAAAAGAAAAACACTAATTAGGTTTGGGAGATCCGAATTGTAGCTTGAAACATATCTTTTTGATGATGGTTGATTCTTGGACTTTTGGCTCAATGGGCTCTATACATTATAGGAACTTTTCTGACTACATTTTGAATTGACAGATACAATTATCAGCATGTTTAGGACTAAGAAACACTTCGGGGTTCCCTGTCTTTTGGTTTATTTTACGAATTTTTTTAAACTAAATGTATCATATTGGAGTATGCATAAAGAAATACTGCAGGATCTGAGACATGACAAGCGGGGGTGCCTTTGTTCTACTTCACTGATTTCAATATTTTCGTCTACAAAATGAAAACTTTCAGCAAACGTTTTACATTCTCTGTGGACAATCTACCTTAAATAGTTTATTTTGCATTGTTCTGCCGTAAACTCTTAATGAAAACTTATTATTTGAACTGTTGCAGAAGTTCCTATTTTCTTTAAACTGATCAAAGCCCATCAGATAAATACAGTTTGACATAAATGGATATTTTGTAATGCAGCTACACAGCATGCCTAGGGGTAGGGCTGCTCGATTATGGCAACAATCATAATCTCGATTATTTGGGTCAATAATTGATATCACGATTATTAAAAACGATTATCCATTTACTTGGAGAAAAAAAATGTGACCAGTATGTTTTTAACAGTTGATTACCCTGAACTTTAAGTATAACTCAACTGAAAAACAAATTAAAAAAAGTAATAATAATAATAAAAAAAGAATAGTNCAGACACTGTGTCCATCATTTGAATTTGTAGGCATGTGTATCATTTTATAGCAAACCCATTTATGGCATGCTTCGACAGCTTGGAAGCGAACATCCAAACTATAAAATGATACACATGCCTACAAATTCAAATGATGGACACAGTGTCTGTTTAGTCATGTTTTAATTTTGTATTTGTATTTGTAACTATGTTTTTATTACATTACATATCACTTGTTAGACGCTTTTATCCAAAGCGACTTACATACTCAATACTGTGGACAATCCCCACAGGAGCAATTTAGGGTGAAGTGTCTCAGGGACACAACGACATGCTGACTGCAGTGGGGTTTGAACCTGTGACCCCCTGATCCGAACACCTACGCACAACCCACTGCACCACACGCCTTATATTCAAATGAATCATCCGTGTGCTAAGCCACAATATGTAAATATCATATAATTGGACCCCTTCATGCTCCTGTTTCTAAATACAAATTCATATTTCTCCCAGACAGGCAAGAAAACATGAACAATTACTGCTATTTGGAAGATAAATCCGTGATGTCATTATAAGCGTTCCCCAGGTTTCATGCATTGTGGTATCCACTTCCTCTTGCTTGTCTTTGCTTTTCATTTTTTTAGACAACATTTAATTTATTTGTAATAAGTTTACCATTATTGAAGTTCTGGCTCTTCTGGAAGGAAGTCCCTAAAAAAACCTGAATCACTAAATCTCCCCCTCACAGTTCTTAATCAAGCAGGCTACAAGGAGTGTTCGAGTGTTCGAGTGTTCGAGTGTTAATTAAAATGACCTATTTTGTTCCACAAAACGTATCGGTTCATTGTTGCTCTTTTGAATCAGAATAGTACAGGAGAACTATCTAGGATTTGAAATTCTGAGGCTTTAGTTAACCATATAAATAAAAGTCAGACATTTTGTAGCATAAATGTATGAATAATATTATTTTGTTAATGTTATTTTTAAAGCAACAACTCATATGTATTAACCTTAAAGCAACACAACAATGTGAAACATGGTTTATAACCTTAATGACCAAAGTTCGCCCAGGAATTTCTTCAGCATCAACATATTTGAATGTGAAATGTACTTAACAATACTGTTTTGTATTTCGCAGTAGTTCTTCCGGAAATGGATAACCAGGGGGAGTATGAAGGACAGAACTTCAACTTCACATCACCAGACAATATGGACAATGGTGGCTCCCAGAACCTTACTAAGCTCACCACGGCTAACATGGATGACATGGAGGAATATTACAACTTTGGGAAGGATACGAGCAGCTACGCTACACCTTGAGAGGCCATGAACCAGAGGACATGTTTTCTTCAAGGCAGAAGGAAATGACAGAGCTGTTGTCAAGGAGACACTGGGGACGAGTTATTTTTTACTTTTAGTTTTGGCCTCCTTCCAGAAGAGCCAGAACTGAAGGACTCTGATGGGAGGCCTGGAAGGAGACTCACGTCAGAGGAGACGCTTTAGCTCTGCTGCTGAGGGCAGAGACACTGAACATGTTGACGCTGGTCTGGGACTCCTCTTTTGGGATTACTTCACTTCCCCACTCAAAGACTTTCACTGGCGGACAGTCAAATCTGTATGTTGTGTGTGTGTGTATCAGTTATTTGAAGAAAAAAATGAAGAAAAGAAAAAAAGTTGCAGAGCCATCAGTTACATTTAAAGTGATAGAAATTTGTTTGCCATTTTTGTAATTCACCACCGATGTACAGGACTGTCTCAGAAAATTAGAATATTGTGATAAA